ATGTGGGCGCTTAGGTGGGCCAGTGATCACGTGATTTACGCTGCCGACAACAAGGCGTTGGCATGTCGGAGGGAACGCGGCTGCCGATCCATCGCAGCAGAAGCTGCCACCATATGTCGGATCTCACAGCATTGTCGCTTCCGTGTGAAGGAGTTTTAAATGAAGATTTCTGTCAATCAGGGCGCGCATCACCCGCGCTTCCTTCGACGCGCTTGACAGAGAGAAGAGCCAGACGTCTACGGCAAGGTCAGGCGCCGCAGGCGCCACCGAGGCGCGGTCGGGGGGCCCAGAGGAGTGAGCCAGTGGATGGCATCGGTGAGAGCTTCCCTCCTCCCCCTCCTCCCCCCGCCGCCGTTTGTGCCACATCCGTCTGGTTTTGCTTTGTCTGTTGTTGAGTCCTCCCACTCTCTAGACGAAACAGGGTCCCGCTGTGCTCGGTGTTTCGGGTCCGCCGCTAAGTCCCTGGTCCGCGCGCGGAGAGGATCACAGCTCCCTCAGAGGCCTTCCAAAGTGAGCGAGAGTACACATTGCTGGGGGGTGGGTCCACCCCTCCCACCGCATGCGGTTGCACCAGGACCTCGGGGTGTGGTTCTGCGCGTGTTGTGGGATGTTCGGGTGCCAGCGAATCTTGGGTGAAAGCTAGGAGTGCCTGGAGCAGGCCACTCCCACGCGTCGTGAATACTTGAACCGCATCGAGAGGGGTCTGTTCCCCAAGGCTGACAGTCAAGCCGAGCTTGATCGCAGGGCCCATAAAAAAGGTTCCTCCTGAGGTGCTTTCGGACTACGTCCCAGGACTTCATGCTCCATGCGTCTCCTCCCCCTCCTCCTCCTCCTCCTCCTCCTCCTTCTTCCGACACCGATGGGAGCAAGAAAGCTGCTGCACTGACGAATGACATGCAATAACGAAGCGGCGGCGGCAAAGCGGCGTCAGCCAGCACGGTGCCTGTCCGCCGCGTAGCGCCCCCACCCGTGACCCTCGAAATAAGGGTCGTAGGGCACATAGAAATCCTGCACCTGTGGCGGGACCTCGGGGACCTGGCCGACTGCCTGCAATTCACAATCACGCACAGTTAGAAGAAGTGCCTGGGCAATAATCTTACACAACTGCGATGGGTATTGCTTCGCTGCTGCAGTGCGGAAATCGCCATTCCCGCGGACCCCGACGAGTTCCTCGGGATGAGAGGTGTGGGGGCATTTGCCCCCGCCTGGCAACTGAGCAACTAAATCACGAATCGTCGGCACATTTACGCACAGTAGGGTAGTGGGTTTCTTTGACCGAGCACCACACGTACATTGATCTAAATTCAGAAACCTGATGTCAGCACGAGCTCTGAAACCAAACAATGCACTCATCTCAGGGAGGCGCCAGATCGAGGGGAGGTGAGGGGCCTCCGGTTCAAGAGGATGTTCTAAAATACAGGCGGCTCCCACGGCCGCACAAACATACACAACCTGAAGCATAGTCTGCAACAAACGATTGCCGAGCATAACCTGTTCCCACTCAGATGGAGAGCGGGCCGCCAGGCCCCATAAAAAAATCCCTGGACCGAAGGACGCGAGGCTTTATACCCCCACTGGGCGGTGGATTCGCACGGCCCTTGGACCAGGTCTCACACGGGGGCCCTCCAACTGCACCGAGGGCCTGCCCGGACCACAACATTTCTAATATTTTAGCGACCGAGGCTTCTACTGTAAGGTCACCTCGGTCTGGACTATTGGCAACGTCGATCGATAACATTACCACAGGTACACGAGCGGCCATCTGAAGCATTTCGAAGTGAGCTTGCACGTCGCCTGCCCGACGTTGGCCGCTGAAAAGATGCAAGAAATAACGCACTTCTGAAGGCGAATTACTGAGCACAGCAGGGGCACCAGCATTCTGATCCCGACCGCGCTCGACGCCGTCAGTCGTGGCTCGAGCGATGTTGGCCTCAACTGGGCCACCCAGCACAGGTCCGATAAAGGCAACTGGCGGAGCGGTAGCTGCATTCCGACATTCCCCCCGCCCCCGACTCGCCCTGGCCGCCCGAGCATCTTCCTTTCGCAGCTCCAGCACTCGCTCGACAGGCATGGGCTTTAAATGGTGCGCTAGCACCGTGAGGCATCGGCTCGAGCCGAATCGGAGGTGACGGAGTAGCCGCCCTCTGGTGTGCCAATCCTGGCCGCAGGCGTGGCAACATGATCCAAGTGCCAGCGCCCCTGCGAGGTCAAACTCGGGGTGCGCGAGAGTGCGGTGTCTTCCCCACGCCGCTTTGGTGTTAAACACCTCTCCGCACGCCCTGCACGGAAACACTGCATTCTCAACAACCTTTTTGAGGACGGGGGGAACGGGGAGCTTGCCGCGCTCGCAGATGGCAACCAGCTTGGATTGCCACACAGCAACCTCGCAGCTCGCCAGGTGCTCTGCCATGGCGCCTCTCTCCGCCTCTCTACACCAAGCAGTCCACTTTTTGGGGCAATCACGGGCTACACCAATCCACCACGGCAAGTCCCCGACTGGAGACCATTCGATCGGGATCGTGATCCGATCATACATCCACCAGATATCTTGCCTCACGAGATATGCCCAACTATTCTTAACACTGACAAGTGCGTCAAGCATGTGCAACAACCCGTCCGATCCGAACCTCAAAACTTTCTCCAAAAAACGAAGCCTCCTGAGGCGCAGAGTGACGATAGCAGGGAGACGGCGGCACTTGAGGTAAACTTCAGGCGTAGACCAAGCACACACATCGTCTTGCTCATGCCTCCGAAAGCCCACAGCAGCCCTGAGAGAGGCCATAAACGCAGTTTCCGAGTACTTCTGATTGCTTGCGTTGAGTGCGGATCAGACGGCACCGTGGAAGAACACCCGGCTGTGGCAGAAGGCGGCAGCATACTTGACGCGGGTATCTACTGGTAAATCGTTGTTACGGGTGAATACCGCATTCTTAAGCCCCCCAAGTACCCCCAGCTGGGTGTGGTGCCTGTGCGCAAGCTCAGCATTCATGGAGCCCGAGGCGTGCACCATAGATCCCAAGTGCCTGCACACGTTAGCAACAAAAACAGATCGCTTGATAGCAGGGACCCACATCTCCCCCTTAAACGCGGCTATCTTCGCTTTAGCAATCTTCTTGCCCTCGCCGATAGGGTGGAACATCAGGGTCGATTTGCCCTCCCCGTAGTTGACGACAAACCCCCTCGCCGTCATCACTTGATGCACGGTAGTGACGACAACTTCGGCCAACTTACAGCAGTCGCGTGCTTTGGCACATGCCTGCAGCACGGCAAGATCGTCCACATACGAGGGCGATCCTATGCGGCTGTCCAGCTGTTTGTCGCGGCTGGTGAAGGTGCGGCCTACCCGCGGGCACATGTCTTCAACGTTTAAGTCGATACTTTCGGCGAAAAACCTCATCCTCACCTCCTCATGCACGGGGGCAAAAGCGAGGGTAAAAAAGAAATCAGCAGGGGGCATGCCCGGCCTTGCCCCCAACGTCGCTTGCGCGACGGACGTAGCATCTTTTACCTGGAACCAGGTGCTCGAGTTTACATCGGCAACTGCATCCCTCAAGTGCTCGGTGCCTACCCTGTCGAACACAGCTGGCTCTGCCAGCAACTGCCTCATCACCCCCTCAAGCGCTAGCGGCAACTGCAGATCGTCGATGACATCCTCCAGGTCCTGCTGTGCCGACGGCAAGGCGGTTAAAAACTCTCGAATGACTGTGTGAAACGCGGCTTTTAGATCCGTGAAGAAAAGCACCGAAGTATACCCCAGATGCCTAGCAAGGTCCTGAAATGCCCGAACTTGAAGCGAGGCACCCGCCGTGCCTCTCCCCGAACGGCCCCCGTGCTGATCGCAGTCCAACAGGACCGAAGCAACATCATGGATTTTGCGCCGCAGGAACTTGTGGTGGTGCTTGCAGACGTGCACTCCAAGCAGGATTTCCCGAAAGTTTTTCAACAACCGAGCGTCCCCCTTTTTGTACAAGTCGTGCGCCACCCCACCCTTCCATGCCAGGGGTTCCCGGCATGCCATCTGGACTTTTAACACAAGTGGCAGCAGAATCTGTGCACTGAGGTCTGGCGCGGCCTGATACAAGTCATTGGTGCACAGATCGCGTCCTGCTGCCTTGCGCTTCGCCGCACACTGGATGTCACACTGCAATCCCGCTAAAGAGTACAAGTCTGCCAGCTCACGATGCCCACTCGAATGGAACTGCTGCTGCTGCTCATTATAGCGGGTAACGAGCTCTGGCACTGTACAAATCTTAGCTCTCTCGGTGGCTGCGAAATGCTCTAAGAGCCCTTGTGCCAGGGCCTCGCGTGACTCGTACGGCTGACCATCAGCATTCACTCTCATAGGCAACACGTTTTTGTCCCCAGACTTACGCCCACCCCCAAAGGCAATCAAACACTTAACGCCTGGCCACTCCACGCGGCCGTCTCCTGAATTAGTTGCATCATTGATTTCGGTGGCCTTTTCCTCAAGGAACCGAGTGCGATCGTTCCGAAGCTTACGACGAATCACATACTGCGATGATCTCAGGAAAGCAACACAAGCCCCGTGAAACTCCTGAACCCCATGGACTTGATCAACCCACAACCGAGCAGCAAACGTGAGGATGCCGACAGCCGAGTCAAACTCAGGAAGCGCCTCGCGAGCATGCCGACAGCCGAGGAACTCAGGATACCGACAGCCGAGTCAAACTCAGGAAACTCAGTGTCTCTTTCGGCGCGGGCCATCGAAGAGCATCCTGGATCATTGGGCAAAAAAGAATCGCGCACGATACCGGAGCATGCACGGGAAATGGACGCCCGAGCGACGTCAATGCATTGTGTTGTTTCGGCAAATAAAAGAAGAGCGGAGGACCCGCTGTAACGCAGGACGCGCTCTATCGTGACGCCCGTTGCCAAAAGCGTGTCGCCATCTTGGGTTCAAAGGGTTAAGGCCGCCATCCGGTGGCGACGAGGAGCACAGCATTGCACCTTTGCTTGTCAACGTGAACAAAACACACAAGGTCGCGGAGCACGTCCACGACCACGAGTCTCTCGGCCTGGCGGTCATCGAGCAGTCCGCGCCCGAGCCCATTGAGCGTTGCCTGAGCAAGTTCGTGGAGGCAGCGGAGCTGTCGGCCTATTGCCGAGAATGCACGGCCAAGGATCCGCGGCGAGCCAGGGGGGGATGTGAGAAGGAGAAGGCCTTTTCAGAAGGATCGGAAGCTCGCCGGCCTTCTGACAGAGGTTTTCTGAGTCTTCCCCGAAGACTCAATAAACTTCTCAGAAGTCTCGAGGACTCCTGAGAAGCACCGCCGCCTTCTGAGAAGGCCTTCTCCTTCTCACTTCCCCCCTCGCTCGCCGCCAAAAGGAAGGGCGTTACGTGGAGGTCAGCCACCAGAAAACGTACAACCTATGGGGGTGCCCGCCGCTGCTGACGGTGCAGCTGAAACGCGGTCGAATGAATGGCCCCTACGACAGCTACAAGCTGGGCAACCTCGTCAGCTTCCCGATGCGCCTGGACTCGAAGATGAAAACACGCCACCGACATGTTTTGTGGCGCTCCGCGCGGATTTCTTGGATCCGCGCTGGGCCCCCCACGGCGGCGCCCCCGGCGCCGCCCTTGGCGCGTTCCGCGGGCTGGGGGTGGGGCGGGGGTCCAGCGCAGGTCCGAGAAATCCGCGCCGAGCGCCACACATTTTATGTCTACGGCGTGTTTTCTTCTTCCGTGGACCTCCAGTCCTGCGTCGCGGAGAGCTACCGCGTCGACGTCGAGGCGCCCACCCCGCGCGCGCAGGGGTGCCCCGCAGCGGGGCCCGCGCTCGGCGCCACGGCGGAAGTGCTGCGAGGCTTCAGCACCTTATCGCGGGCGCTGACGCAGTACGATCTGTTCGGGGTCGTGAACCACCACGGCCCAGACATGCGATCGGGCCACTACACGGCGCACGTGAAGAGCTCCGGCAAGTGGACCAGGTGCAACGACCATCTCTCGGAGGAGGTGCCCGAGGAGCAGGTGGTCACTCCCGACGCCTACCTCCTCTTTTACATTCGGGGAAACGTAAGACTCGAGTGCGCCGGAACTCGGGTTTGCCGACGCTTTCTGACGAGCGTGTCCTGGATTTTGACGTTCCAGGTCTCGTGGGATGTTTTGCAGCGGGGGCTCGCGCAAATTTCTGACTGGGCCTCGTCCTTTTCGTGATTGTGCTCGGGGAGCGAAGAATGGCATACATAGATGAGCATCAAAACTCGGAGGTCCGCGTGGGTTGCTCGGATCCGCGCTGGGCCCCCCTCCACGGCGCGTGGAGCGCGCCGGGGGCGGCGCCGGAGTCGCCGCCAGGAGGCCCCAACGCCGATCCGCGAGATCCGCGCGGACCTCCGAGCTGTTATCGGGGCTGGACAGAACCCCCAATAGTGACACGTCGATTAGTGAATTGTCCGTTTTCGGTTCTCGAGAGGGCGCCGCGGCCGTCATTTTCCAGGCTTGCGCCCGCCAGGTTTGGGCCCGAGGTCGTTTTCACTAAACCACGTTTTACTAAAGGGAGGTCTGTCCATCCCCGATGTTATGCTTTTATGTTGTGCTTCGCTTCCCTATGCTGTCGGGCCAACCCAAAGCCCCAGCGCCCGAGTCTCGGGCCGGAGGAAAGGGGGGGAGTGGGAAAGGGGGGGTGCGAAATCTGCTGCATGCAGCTGGTTTCGGCCTCGCCGAGGGGCCCATTCCTCGATACATCGCCGCCTCCGGCGCCGGGAGGCGCCGGGAAAATCAGCTACATGAGCTGATTCTCAACCCCCCCGTTTGCTATCCCCCCCTTTCGCCCGACCCGAGAGTCTTACGTCTCCCCGGCACATGCGCAGGGATCTGAGCAGAGGGGACGTCGGCCTGGAGGACCTGTTCCCTGGCCGCCAGGTGCCCTCGGCGCCTCCCCGGAGCGGCCATGCCTGCAAGAGAGTGGCCCTCTGCCGGAGTGGCCTCTGGCGCGCGGCTTCTGGGGGGCGCTGCGGGGCCCAGCCCAATCTTCACCACCCACCAAACCACCCCAACCCAACCCGAAGGCCCAAATTTATCCTCGATTTCCAGTGGGGGGGTCGGGGAACATTGAAAAAACACATGGAATCCGTACCCCCCCAACCCGAAATTCGGGTCAAATTCGGGTCTTCGGGTTGGGTTGGGGTGGTCTGGTAGGAGGCCCCCGCGAAGACCAGGACACGGATAAACCAGGACACGGAAAACCAAAGAAACGACACTCCTATCCTGCAAAGGCACACTTTTCCAGCTTCCGTGCATTGTTTTGTCTGCTGCACTGCACGAATCTGCGTTTGTGTCCGGGTTTAGGGGGGATTGGTGCAGGCTATTATAGGGCCTGTGCCAAGGTTTCTGCTGGAGCTGCTGTCGTGCAGGATGTTGTTCGTGCCGCCGTCTGGAGAAATTGGTTCTAAGGGATGTTGGGTCTCCGGGTCTCGCGTGTCCAGGTTTACTACGCGGCCCTGACCCATCACGCAGTCCAGACCCCCGACGTCAAGATTCTTTCATTGCGTCGACCCTTGCAGGTCTCGACCCATTCCCTTGGACCAGTTTTTCTTCCTGAGTCGTATTTTGACGGCCCCGAGGGCCGGTAAGGGCCCCCAGAGGCAGAACAAATACGGAGAAGCTGACCGTCATGATTTTCTCCTTACCCGAGGGGGTCTGGGAGGCCGCCATTGTCGCACCGCACGCCATGGCCAGCAAGCCGCGCACCGAAGGTCACTCTTGCCCACAGACCCCACCGTCGCGTTTTTTCATGACGTAGACCCCAGGACGTCTCGACCCATCCCTCGGGACCGGCTTTTCATCCTGAGTAGTTTCGGACGCTCCCCGGGCCCGGCGAGGCCCTCCAGATGACAAAAATAGTCCTAAGTCGGGCCTGTCCCTCTATACAGGAGGATCTTCAAAAATAATCAACAATTAGTTTTGGGACGATTGTTTGACTGTTATTGGCCATTTTTGAAGATTTGTTTTAGTTTTTCGTCCAAAATCCGCCTGTAGGGGGACATGCCCGACCTAAGAGTAGTGTTTTGACGCTCCCCGGGCCGGGCGAGGCCCTCCAGACGACAAACGTGGTCGGAAATTACCCGTCGTGTTTTTTTCATGACTTGGTCGGATTCGGGCGACTGGGTCTTTCGCGAAGAGGGCCCCAAAACTGTTCGCAACGGTTCGTGCAATCGTTAGCGCGGGAGACGCACGTCGTACAATACCAGCACGTGTCTGCCCCGCGTCATGCGCCACAGGATGATTTAGCGCGTTTTTGTCCGACACCATGTGCTCGAAGAAGGAGGGCCGCCACAAACATCCACTTTTGGCGCTCCGCGCGGATTTCTTGGATCCGCGCTGGGCCCCCCCGGCGCCGCCCCCGGCGCCGCCCCTAGGGGCGCTCTCCGCGGGCCGGGGGGTGGGGGGCCCAGCGCGGATCCAAGAAATCCGCGCGGAGCGCCAAAAGTGGATGTGTAGGCCGCTTTGTGCTTCTGCTGCGAAAGACCCTCTCTGCCCGCAGCCAGCCTCCGACGTCATGCTCTCTTGTCTTCACAAACGTCGACCCTCAGAGGTCTCGACCCGCTCCCCTGGACCGGCTCTCCATCCCGAGCCGATGCCTGACGGCCCCGAGCCCCGGTGAGGGCCTCCAGAAGCCGACCATGCGGCAACGCCTCCCGCCATGTACAGTCAACGCGCCTAGTAAGGACGCGCGCCTTCCTCTAGGATACCCTTGCGTCCCGGCCCCTGTGGCCCGTCCTTTGCCGTTTTCACTGGTCGCCGCCGCCCACAAAAGTCCCAACTTCAGCCTCCAAGGGTCCTGCGTCCTCACCTCGCGTCCTTACTGCACGTTTTGACTGTACTTTCCAATGCCCGAGGGGGTCTGGGCTTGAGGGCCGCCGACAGGAGGGGAAAAAACACACAGACACAATTAATCGTCGATTCCCAAGAAAATATGGGAAAATATGGGAAGTGGGGGGGCAGACAAAAACCCAGAAAATATTGGAAAATATGGGGAATCCTTTGATCTGTGTGTATTTTTGTTCGTGTGTCCCGGGGCCTGTTCAGATTTCCAATGCCCGAGGGGGCCTGGGCTTGAGGGCCGCCGGCAGGAGCAGCTCGGCTGCCCGGCCGCCGCACCCGGGCAGCGCCGGCGCCGCGGAGCCGCCGCGGCCCTGCGAGCAGGCCGCACTCCTGCCGAGCGCACCGGGGGGCGCCGACCACGCCACGGGCGGCCGATCCCTCCGGGGAGGCCGAGGTCCTGCTCACGACACGCTCCAAGATTTCCAGCGCCTCCAGAATTTCCTCTTCCTCCTCCTCCTCCTCCTCCTCCTCCTCCTCCTTGTCCTCCTCCTCCTGCTCCTCCTCCTGTGCCTGCTTCTTCTCCTCCTCCTCCTCCTCCTCCTCCTCCTCCTCCTCCTTGTCCTCCTCCTGCTCCTGCTCCTCATCCTGCCGCTCCTCCTCCTCCTCATCCTCCTCATCCTCTTCTTTCTCCCTCCTGCCCCTCCTCCTTCTCCTCCTCCTTCTCTTCTTCCTCCTCCTGCTGCTCCTCTTCCTCGTCCTCTCGCTCCTCCTCCTCCTCCTCCTCCTCCTCCTCCTCCTCCTCCTCCTCCTCCTCCTCCTGCTTCTCCTTCTTCTCTTCCTGCTCCTGCTGCTGCTGCTGCTGCTGCTGCTCCTCCTCCTCCTCCTCCTGATAACGATACGTTCCAAAAGTTTCAATGTTTCCGAACATAATCCCTGGTTCCAGATGTTCCGCATTGGCTGCGCCGCTACCCAGAGATCCGACGTTCTTAAACAATTGGAGCTGGCGGTTTTGGGCCATCGGCCTCGGGGAGCCCTCGCCGGGCAGTCCCAGGACTGGAAACCGGCCTAGACCTCCTGGGCCCACGCATTGAGAAAATTGGAGGAGCCGGATGTCTGGGAATGATGCGTTCCAAGACTTTCGAGGTTTTCCGGATCTTCTTCGTTTTCAAATTTTCCGCACGGGCTGCGCCGCTCGAATTTTTGGAAATCCTGAAATTCATCGTGAGCCAATATTATCGTGACAGCACTCTCGCCCTAGATCCTGGCCATGGCCAATTTTGGACCTTTGAGCTAGCGGGGGGTCTGAGGTGGCCCAGCATTGGTTCTGGGGAGTCGGAAGGGGGGTCGAGTTTCGAGGTTTTGAGTTCGGGGAGGTTTTTTTTCCTGCGTTTCGTTAAACCTCCGAGGGGGCGTTTTCGGGCCGCAGGACCGTTAAGAACGGACCCCGGGTGAAAAAATGGCCATGGACCCCGGGCGGGGTCTAGGGACAGACTTTCAGCGGATGTGGTTTCGTTCCCCTCTCCTGACCGATTTTCTGGAGCCCGGACGCGCATCAAGACACCAGATGCGATTCGTCCGGGTACCCTGGGCGTCTTCGCTCCACGCGCTGCGCGGTGACTTCCCGCGGCCGTTGCAGAAGCTGGTGCGTTGCGGGTGCTCTGGGTCCTCCCCCGCCGCATCTTGCGCGCGGATCTTCGGAGCTGGGCTTAGCTTGCGAGGGTCTGCGGCGGCCGCGTCCGCGCTGCACTCGGACCCCACCTGCTCGGGTTCGGCCGGGCACCGCCCTCTATAGAGGGGGAGTGCTCAATGTCTGGGGACGAGTTGTCGTGCCCTCCAGAGGTTCTGTTGTGATTCTCTTCGGCTGCGCCTTTCGTTTTGCTCCCAGAACCAGGAGGAGGAGGAGGCGGAGGAGGAGGAGGAGGAGGAGGAGGAGGGAGGAGGAGGAGAGCGGAGAGGAGGAGGAGGAGGAGGAGGGAGGAGGAGGAGGAGGAGGAGGAGGAGGAGGAGGAGGAGGAGGAGGAGGCCTCCGTGTGCCGCCGGCGCCCCCCGGGACAGCCCCGCGCTGCCCAGCGCCCCGGCGCAGCCCCCGCGCGCGTCCGGGCGCTGCCGGGCGCGGCCGGCGGGCAGCGCCGGCTGCTGGGCGACGGTCTGCGGCGGCACTCGGCCGAGGGCGTCGTCGCCGCGGCCGCGGCGGCCCGCGCCGCCTTGAGCAGCGGAGGAGGAGAAGTCGAGCAGCGGCGAGGCGTCCTGGTCTTGCCTCTGGGCCCAGCAAAAAAGGGTTGTGTGTGGTCTGCACGAGATGTTCGAGCATGTCTGGCTCGGGTTGTCCTGTTTCAACGCATCAGGCTTATGGTTGTTCTTAGAAGAGTTCTGGGTTCTAAGAACACTGCGTGGTAGGCTTGTGGGAATGCCGGGACGGTCGGTCCCTGCTCAAGAGAAGGTACCGGGGGAGGGGGAGGTGTGGGTGTTGAGTCTCTGGTTCCCGGGAGTGATTCGCCCCTGGGACCTGAGGGGGCATCAGTGTGTTCCTGCTTCTCGTCGGCCTGAGTTGCCCCTGGCGGCCCTGGCGTGGCCGTGGGGGGGGTGGTCGCAGACGTCTCCAACCTGCTCCCTGCTCCGTGTCGGCGGGCTCGGGCGGGCAACAGAGATCTATCTCGGGATCGGCCCGTCGGGCCCGAGGCCTGCGTGACAGAACATCGGGGGCCCATTCCTCGCCCTGCCCCTCGCGAGGATCCCAGGGTGCATGCAAATTGCATATCGTCGGCGAAATCCGATTCCTACCCTCGCCAATCAACGATTCAGGCAACTCGATGAGCAGCGAGGGTAGGGTTCAGAATTCGTCGAACACGTGGCGAAATCCGAACCCTACCCCCGCCTCCCATCGTTTGAGGAGAATCGATCGTCGGGGGGGGGGGGTAGGGTTCGGATGTCGCCGTGTAGTAGAGCGCATCACGGATCCGTTGGTCCTCCCCCATATCCTCAGGCACCGTATCGTCGCAACCTTCTTTACACATCATCTGAACATGTTCGATCATGCTGTTTTCCATGCGCTTACGTAGTCGATCGGGGTACGTTTTTCCTTGGCGGTTTTTCATTCCTTGCGGGTCCCGTCGTAACCTAGCAATGTTTAATGACCTCCTCTTCCATGTGAACACTTGCTTCTCCCCTCCGTATCTGACAGGCGACCGTGTAAGCCTGAGACACGTAATGCCACGATCTCAGTCGGTGCCCTCGACCACTGACCTTATTCGCTGGTTATCACTGCTGGGGAGGAGGTCAATGCCCGAAGGGGGTGCCATGTGAAGGACGTCACAGCCTGGATCGATACGCCAATCCAAGGCCTGCGGGTGTTCCATCCAACAGCTTGTGCCTAATATGAGACGCGTGGCGAATAGCATGACCATCGCTTCAAACAGCGCGTTTCCTACCCACACCTGTTCCGTTGGCCGTGGTATGAGTGCAACCTTCCCCCGCTTTACGTCATGCGAGGAGGAGGGGGAGGGAGACGGAGGAGGAGGAGGAGGAGGAGGAGGAGGAGGAGGAGGAGGAGGAGGACGAGGAGAAGGAGGAGGAGGAGGAATATGAGGGCGGAGGAGGACGAGGAGGAAGAGGAGGTGAAGTAGGAGGAGGAGGAGGAACTCCTACTTCCCACCTCTCTCCTCCCTCCGTGTCCGTCCTCCCTCCGTGTCCCCCAGAGCGCCACCCTGGCCGACGGGGGCATCGAGGCGGATCCGGCCACGCCGACTGTCACCCCCACCCGTCAGCAGTGGCCCCGAAGAGAGAGGGAAGGCAAACCACTCCTCCTCCTCCTCCTTCTACTCCTCCTCCTCCTCCTCCTCCTCCTCTGTTACCTCCTCATCCTCCTCCTCCTTACCTCCTCCTCTTCCTCCTTCTCCGTTACCTCCTCATCCTCCTCATCCTCCTCGTACTCCTCCTCCTCCTCTTCCTCCTCCTCCTCCTCCTCCTCCTCCTCCTCCTCCTCCTCCTCTTTCACCTCCTCCTTCGTTCCTCCCTCCGTCCTCCTTCTTTCCTCCGTCTCTCCCCCCCCCGCCTGCCGTCCCCGCACGGATGGCGTTCCGTACGGGCGCCTTCTCGAGCCCCCACCACCCCAAGAACCTCCGCATCGCGCCGGAGAAGACGAGCAGAACCTCGCAGGGCAGGGGGTGGAGGAGGGGAAGAGGTGGGGGGAGAGGGGGGCAAGGAGGGGGAGCAAGGCGGGAAGGGGGGGAGACAAGGGAGATGAGGGAGGTTTTTGCATTCGCTGTTTCGTGTTTCTGGCGCTGAAGCACCGCCCAAGAGGCTCCCAACACCGCTCCAAGACGGCCCATCAGGCCCCCAAGAGGGCCTCAAGACGGCCCAAGAGAGCCCCGAGACGGCCCAGAGCCGCCCAAGACATGGAGGAGGCGCTGGAGGAGAAGGACGATCCAGAGGGGCCATGCTGCTCCTCCTCCTCCTCCTCCTCCTCCTCCTCATCTTCCTCCTCCTCCTCATCTTCCTCCTCCTCCCGCCCCCCCTTGTTCGGCCGCTCGACGAATGGAGGCACGAGCTCCTTCCTGCACGGCCAGGCGCGCCGTCACGGCGCGAGCGTTTGTTGGTGCAGCAGGTCAGCCAAGGGCCCCGCCTTTCCGATGGTCGTCCAGCTCCTCCTTGCCCCCCCCTGTCCTTGCCCCCCCCTTCCCCCTCCTCCCCCCTTCTCCTCCCCCTCCTCACCCCTCCTCCTCCCTCCTCCTCCTCCTCCTCCTCCTGCTCCTCCTCCTCATCCTCCTCCTCCTCCTCCTCCTCCTCATCCTCCCTCCTCCTCCTCCTCCTGGCGGGCTCCGGCCGACCTGCGCAACCCGGCAGGCGCGGCCCCCGCGACGGCCTCCGCGCCCAGGGCGCGGCTTGCCGCGACGGCCTCCAGTGGTTGAATCAGATTTGCAATCCAAGGAATCCCGTGGGTTCTCATTCTGACCAGCCAGTGGTTGAACCAGATCTGCAATCCAAAGAATCCCCTGGGTTGCGGAGCCGCCGCCTGGGCCCGCGCTGGCATACTGGCAGCGCCGTTCCGAGGCCCCCGTCCTGCCCCGGCCGCTCCCCCCTCCCTCCATGCACGCGGCGCCTCGGCCTCGGCCGAGCCGTCTCGCTGCAGGCAGGGCGCTGTGATTCGACAGGCCAGCGGCGTCACGGCCCAGGGCACGCCTACGTCTGGCCCAATGATTGCCCTGACCCGGACTTCTGGATACGAGCCTGTGACCACCGTGCTCCACAGGGCGGTCGCGCCAAGAGGCGGGGCCCACTCACGGGGCCAAGGCGAACCAGAGCCATACCTTCATGCCCTCGTCTGGCTCTGGTAGGGCGAGGTGTGGGACCCCCCCCCGTCCCCGTCGTCGTCCTCCACCGCGTCTGCCTCCCCTCTTCAT